ACCACTCTAGGCGGCTTCCAGACAGGTAAAAATACAATAACATATACATATAACAAAAAATAAAAATATATAGGAATAAACATTAAAAAATATACAATGAACAATAAAGAATAAACAATAAGCAAATTCTTCAACATGGCAAAAATAACAAAGAATAGATAAGGAAAAAAAGATTAAGTGTTATCTGGAGGGAAGGCCTACTTAAACATCCACTTTTTTAGATGGGTCTTAAAAATACCCAGTGACGGGGCCTCACGAATCTCTGGAGGCAAGTTGTTCCAGAGGTTGTTCCTGAACATCTTCTTGTTTCTTACAAAACACAACCTTTCCAGAGGAAGGTAGCAATAATGGTGCCAAGTCTGAAGAACAAGCCCTACAAGGAAAAGCGCTCTCCCGCTTTAGCCTGGTAAGAAGCAATATGGCAGCCATTTTGAAATATTGGAAGGGCAATGACATTCACACTGAAATAAATATTGTCCTCTTATGTTTTTGAGGTTAGGTTAGGAGCCCAAACAATGGGGTCAAATGACAAGATATGGAAATCTATTAGGACTGAGCCCCAGATTCAGGCAACTCCTGAACTGCTAAACTAATTGGTCTGATTTAGGTCAATTTAGATGAGGTCCAGATGAAAAGGGAATGGCCAGGTTTGATTCTGGAGCATACTGAAGGAAATCTGTGAATTGTCTGGGTATGGCGCAAATTGCTCCAACGTCCTCATAAAAGTACTCTTTGAAGAAGTACTCTTTGAAGAAGCCTGGTACACAAATCCTCGATGCTGCCTGTTTGAAATTCGGCTCAGCTGCCTCTCCCTTTCAAGTCTATCTTGTTTCCAGATTTCATGTTGCAAAGTATTTTATGAAAATCAGTGCAAAACCAAAACAGATCTAGCCATCGGGAGCTACCTTATAAAGAGTCAGTGCGACTCATCCATCTTAATGCATCATCAACGCAAGAGAAGAGCTTTACCTGGTTCTATTGCACCTCGGATGGTACCAATCACATTGTAAATTCTTCTCACTTCCTTGAAGCTGTGGATATGCATTTTCACCTTGCTGGTGCAATTTTTTTTAAAAAAAATCAAATAGTAAATATGAACATTCAAAGGAAAAAAAAATATCCATTAAAGGTTAGTTTAAGGAAAAGGATAGGCCTAAAATTGTACATTTATTTATCCTTATATAAATGATGCCCCAGGAATGAGAACTTAAATTGTGGGACTTGCTGTCAAGTCAGACTCAAGTCATAGTGGTGACTTGACTCACGTGTTTTTTTCATTTATTCGGACTCAACTAAAGATTAGGAGTCCACCCATCCACTCCTTGATTTCCGAGGAAAAGAATAGAGACTTGGGACTTGGTACCAAAGACTTGGATGTGGGACTTGGACTCTAAGACTTGCCAACATCCCTGATGATGACCTATCCTGAGGGAGTCATCTTTCTAGAATCCTTTTCAGGACAAAAACGTGCTTTAATTCCAACATGGAACCTATTTATTTGGGGGAGACGGAAGGAGCCTTCCCAGAGAATGTGAACTGGGAACATATTTCAGACGTCTCCTGGGCAACAGCAGCTCTCCACTGGATAATGCTGGCCCTCACAAAGCACCATAGGTTTGCTTCAGAAATGAATGACAAGGATCTATTTATTTGATCACCTTTCTCTAGGGCAGGAAAACCCAACCTGGTGATCACAACTGGTATATTGTTAAAGTGTTATAAGAAAATGGGTTCCACGAAGGATATGCCAATTCCAAAGACGGCTACCAGGATGGAGGTCATACAACAGAGAAACAAGAACATCAAATTACAAGCCTTTTAAAAGTCATGAGCGGTGCAAATTATTCAAGCTCCAGAGGTGGATGGAAATATAATGTGTCTCGCACACCTCTCTTTTCCTCCCCTCCAGCTCTCCCTTAGTTCTTCCCCACCCTTCTGCTCATTTGTTCATGCAACCAGGGTACACAAGCTCCATGTTGAGAAGTCCTTTCTTAGAAGGAGGTATTGTGGTTGTGTCCCAGGTCCTCCTCATAGCCAATCTGCCTCACACGCTTTACTCAGGACTGAGGAACACACAGAGCAAAGCACTGGGGGCTTCAATAAAATCCGCCATTGCCACACTCTTCAGGGAAAGTTTACTCAGAAGATATCATTTCCTTCAAAGAACAAGGTTAGCCTAACGCGTTGCTTTGAAGGCCTCACAGAGCAAGGCAGGGCAGGCTCTACGTTTGTGAGGTACTGTGCGGGTCTCCAGAGGGCCAGTTTGGCTTGATGCCTTTTTCTGAGGTCTCCTCAGAGCAAAAGCATTTGAAGCCTCAAGAGAACCTGTCCCTGTCTCACCCTAAGGGGCAAGGAGTTCTCAGAGTAGAGCGTTGTAACATTTTCCATAAAGACAGCTTGGCCTGATGCCTCAGTTTGTGTTGGAGTTTTATTTGCAACCTTGCATGCTAACTGTGGTTTCTGTAACCAGGAAAGACTTTCCTGGGCTGGAGCAATTGTCTGTCTATCCAGGCCTAACTAATTCAAAGGCAGCCAGACCTCTCTGCTGAGTTTTCTTTTCCTCTCTTTTGTCTGCTGTTGGCCGTTGTTTGTTTGCTGTTGATCTACTCATTTGGTTGCCAGAAAAGCAAACAAGTAGGACCCC